GCTCCAAGTGCCTCCTACAATGGCGGGTCGAAGAGAGTCTACGTCTCGGTGGATTCCCTGCCAGCGCTACCCTACGTTGAGCCCGCCGCCCTCCCGGGCCGCTCCGGGAGGCTTGCGGGTCGGCGGTCGGCGCGACGCGCCGCCCTTTGGGCGGCTCATGGTGACGGCGCACAGCTCGCCCTCCTGGGCGCTCTCGCCGCCGGCCACCTCCCCGCCGCCCGTCGCCACTCGTATGCCGGCGAGCTCGAGCGACCCCTCCGTGCGCTTCCTCGTCGCCGCCTGGGCCTGCAGCGCCTGCTCGGCCGCCGCGCGCCGCGCCTCGAACGCCTCCTTCTTCTGCACGGCGGCCCGGTCCGCCTCGGCCGCCGCCGCAGAGAAGCCCGACGGGTCGAGCCCTAGCAACGCGCTCAGCTGCGCCTGCAGCGCCTCTTTGCTCGCCCCCTCGGCGGGCTGCTCGCCGCGCTGGCGCAGCGCGCGCTTCAGCTGGCCGAGTGTCATGTACTTTGGCTTGAGCGTGCCCGCCTCGCGTCCGTCTTGCGGCGGCGACGTCTGCTCTGGCAGTGGTGTGGGCTGCGGCGGTGAGGTGTGCTCTGGCAGTGGCGAGGGTTGCCGTAAATGCAAACTCTCAGCGTCATCCATGCGACCGGGAGATCGCGGCGGCAAGCGTTCCAACACGGTGGGCGAAGGCGGCAGGTCCCTCAACGCCGTCGAGTCGGGCGACGGCTGGCGCGGCGGGTCCTCGAGGAGATGGCTTTCGGAGCGATCTCCGGCGTCGCCATCCACCTGAGAAGAGCAGCAGCCGCCCATGATGGCGGCCGACGAGGGGAAAAAGAATAAGCGCGCGCGCATGTCGTGTCCCTAGTGAACAGCGTGCCGTCCTCCCATCCCCCTCCCTTGGGGTTTCTGTTTTCTTTCTTTTCTTCCCTTGTCAGGAGCAGGAGAGCCCCACCTGTGCCCCTGATCGTCCTTCCAAAATCCTGCTCGTGCAGGTGTGGACCCTGTCCTCCACTCCTCCTCCCCCATCCCTCGTTTGGCGTTCTCTGTTCTTTCTTTCAAAGCCCGGAAAGATCTCCCTTCTTAGTAAGAGCCACATACAACAGGAGAAAAGCTAAAATCAGCAGAGTCCTCGGCCCGCGAGTGTCCCGCAGCAGCTTCGGAGTCACTCCTCATTCATGTCCTCATCGCAAACAAACCCTGTCAGCAGTCCACCTTCGGGTACGTACTTTTAGCTTACTGGGAGAAAGAAAGGAGGGGAGAGGGGGGTGTGCTCTCTCTCTCTCTCTCTCGGGTATGTTCGTAAGAACCACACCAGCTTCGGCTGAGGGCTAACAAGCTGCCGAGCCAAATCACTGTGAGAGTCGTGATTTCTTGTTGGTTTCCTAAAATCGCAAAAAAAAATCGCAAATCCTGTCAGCAGTCCTCCTCCGGGAATGTACGTAAGAGCCACATACATTGAGAGACCCTCTAGACCCCCTCTCTCTTTTCTCCCAGTAAGCTAAAAGTACGTACATTGAGAGAGAGAAATCCTCTGTGTCTAGACACTGAAACGTACACGGAGAGAGAGAAGAGAGAGAGATGATGACACAAGTTTCCGACGTTTCACCTCGCACGACCACTCATCAAATGCGAGATGGCCCCCCCCTGCGGCTCCCACCGAGGACCGGGTGACCCTCACGACGCTCGAATTGCAGCCCGCCGGTGGCTGGCGGCGAGGGTGAGCCACGTCATCGAGGCCACGAACGACGCCGACGCTGGCGGCGGCACTGGCGCTCAGACGAGGACGGTTTCGCGAGGGTGCAACAAGGAGAGTGATGCCAACAACAGCGGCAGCCCGAGCAGTGCGCGAGTCTTAAAGAAGGCGATAGTTCAAAAAGGTGGTTGGCCGTGCGAGAGTAAGAAAGTCTTCAACGGCCTTCACGGCCTCTCGCTGCATGCTGCCCTCGGGCAGACGGCTCGGCTCAAGTACCTTCTGTGCCGCAATCCGGCGGCGGATCCAAACGCCCGCGACTCTGATGGCGATCGTGTGCCGCTCCACTGGGCAGCAGCACGCGGACAGCACGAAGCCGCGCGACTCCTACTCGCAGCCCGAGCCGACCCGCTCATGCCCAATGCAACTGGCGAGACGCCACTGCAGCTGGCGGGGAACGAGCAGATCAGCCACCTGCTGCGCGCCCACTTGCCTCTTGGAGAGGAGACAGTCCAGGTCTCGGTTGGGGACAGCGACGAGCCCACGTTCGTAGTGGAAGTACCCTGATTGGATGGGGTGCCGACGGCTCGAGACGGCACCCTCCGACCCCCGTTAGCGTTACGACTCGTGGGCTTACCCCGTCCCTTGTAGCACGATCGGTCACAGACACCCGCCACTGCCGCCGAGATGGCCACCGTGTTTGTCAGACCCCCCCCCCACCACCACCACCAGGGATCGCAAGTGAGGGAGGGCGAGACGATCGTGGGGTCCCTTACCAAAAGGGATCGACCCGAAGAAGGAGATACCGAACAGACACGTAGACCCGACGAGCGACGTGCTCAGGATCCGGGAAGGACGATCAGGCAGGGGGCACGGGAAACGGGAGGGAGGAGCGCATCGCGACACGGAAAGGGGCTGGGCAGGGTACACACAGTGTGTCAAAAAGAAAACGAACGCTGGAGGACGTCAAGAAGAAGCCGGTGTTTTCTTCTTCTAGGGGTAGATAATAAATAAATCGGACACGCCACTTGCTCCCCGGCCCTGGCGCCTGGGTGTGTCGTGAGTGAGGTTAATGACTGAATTCCAAAAAGGGGTGGGGGAGACGGCCAGGGTCCCCACCTGCACGAGCAGGATCTTGGAAGGAAGGACGATCAGGGACACCGGAAGAACGGGGGCGGGGAGCGCATCGCGACACGCGGGCCTCCTACTGACAAAAGCGATCGACAAAAAGAAAATCTCTCTCCCAAAAAGACCGCGACCTCTCTCGGCGAAGGAAGAAAGAAAGAAAGAAAACAGACAACCCAAGGGTGAAAGAAAGAAAGAAAGCAGACACCCCAAGGGAGGGATGGGAACCCAAGGGTAAAAGAAAGAAAGAAAGAAAAACAGAATCGAACGGCGGGCACGTCGCGCCGCATGGTGGCCGCGCTGCGCCGCTCGCCGCTGGCGCGCGGTTGATCGCGGCGCCGACTCCGCGGCGGCGCCACCTCACGCAGCGGGGCGCGTCGCGTCGTCGGCGCCAAAACAGACGCGAGCTCGCGGCGCGGCCGCGGCAGCAAAAACAACAACCGTCTACTTCTCCTTCTCTTCTCGTCTCGTCTCGTCTTGTCGCAGGCGCACACGCGCGCGACGTGCGCACGTGTCGCCGCGTTCGCTCCGCGAAGGACGATTCGAACCGGGAGCCAGTCGGCGCAGCGGCGGCGCGCCGCGGCAAAACGCACGACGCTCACCTCATGGAGATGCTGCGGCTTTGGCACCTCCTGATATAATGCTGATTTTTTGCTGAGCGGGGCGGAGGCACGCGGGCGGCGGAGGCGGCGGCGGACGACGTCTACTACCTGGCCGTCCCCTGTGGTAGCTTAGCGATCAGGGAGGATCTACCTGTTCGGCCTCGAGGAAGCTGCTGGGGGAGGGGGGGGGGAGAGAGGAGAGGAGGAGAGGGGAGAGGATGAGAAGAGGAGAGGAGAGGAGAGGAGAGGAGAAAGGAGAGATAGGAGAGAAGAAGGAGGGGAAAGAAGATAAAAAGGGGGGGTTAAAG